GCCTAAGATGGCGGCGGGCTACTCTGGCCACTCAGGCCCCCTTTCCACCAACACCCCGGGGCGAAAAATAAAAATATTTCATGTTGAACTTTTGGAGTATATTTTCACAGTATGCTGTGTAGAAACACTCGGGAATTCAAACAGTATTAATATCTTAGTGAAAATAATTATGTTCAAGTGTCAGCAGGCACGAAAAGTTAGCGTGTTTGGGTTTTCAGGGTGGTACGCCCTCCAGCGTCCCTCTGGTTCCGCCCCGCAAAATCGGGCACCGGATGTCCCTATCTGTTTGAAGATCTCAACTGGTTGTCTCTGGCCGTCACGGCCCCAAAAGAAAAAGGACCCCCCTCTCCTCGCTCTCCTCCCACTTCACACCCTCTTAGCCTGACCCAATCCTTCAGCAGCAGCAGCCCCACTGCTCCTGCACATCGTACTGCAGTGCAGTGCAGACTGAGCCTGAAAGCACACCTCATCAGCTGTTTCATCCCCCACCCCCCTCCTAGAGTGGACGGGACTGACGAGAAGCAGGCCGCGACGTCCAGGACCTCGCAATATTTCGTGAAACACCTCGGTTTGATGTATAAAGTTCTGATGCATCACATAGAATCCCGTAATGTCTGGTTGACAGAACCGCCGACCTGCTGCCGCTCGCTTCAAAGTGGTCGCGAAATCGATAATGGTTTCCCATCCCGTAGTTGGGAGAACCCGGAGCACTTCTGGAGCTGCAGACCAGATCATCCCACCCGAGGGGCAAAGGGGCACCCGCAAAGGGGCGTCTCGAAGGGCGGGCACTTTCAGCAAAAGTAGTCCGATGGGGATGGGTGGGCAACAGAGATGTTCCGCTGAAAAATAGCTGGTAGAACCTTTTCTTCCCCCGCTATCGGCCTAGTGGCGTCTTCGCGCCATTTCTTACACCATTTGTACGACATTTCGCCTGAGAAAGTAGTCAACAGAACAGCATTCGCCCGTCCCATATCACCTATCTTGGTTGCCGGGTCTGCCGGTGCCTGCCAGGTGGCTGATTAACCCCGCCCATTTCTGTACTTGGACTGTGCCGCACGCACGAGTGCGGGCGGGCTTGCCTATCGCCCCTGTCCACGGCGCCTTACGGGCCGGGCGAGTAGGCAACCCGCCCGTACTCGTGCGTGCGGTACAGTCTAACTACGGAAGTGCGCGGGGTTAATCAGCCATACCTGATATTATATTGGCCCTATCTTACGTGTAGACAGTTCGGTCCCACGTTTTTGATTTCGTGTCCTTGACTTTTTTACACCTTTGCTATCGCGCTTAAAATCGTTCGCCAGCTTCCGGCGCCAGTAGAGTTTTGTTTGTTTGCGTGACCACAGCAGTCGCTTCGCTCACGGGCAACGCAACCGGGTCGGTCTCGATAATTCGATCCGCAATAACTGCGGCAACGGGGAACATGAAAGGTCTACTGTATAACTGTAGGGATGCGTGCAGCGCGTTTCGTGTTTATTAGTAGCGAATCTTGTTGTCCCCTACCAAAAGCGAATCATGGGGAAATGTACGTACTTGGCGGCCAACGATCACTTTCTTACTGTAACGCATGTACGTCGTGCTGTCCGGGGCCATAACGCGCCGTGGTCAGAGACGATCACCCGTACCCAACCCGAAAGCCACTTCATGGCCACCAGTCACCTCTTCCCTGGAGTGCTACGTCGTCTCAGTCTGAGATCCCTGGCATGGGGCAGGTAGAGGGAAGCCCCTTTCACCCCCCCC